CCCGAATCTTAGCTGTTTTGATTCTTAATTCAGAACATTCATCTCAAGTGGCTTCAGAGATTGAAATTCTGCCATAAACTCGTGTTTGTCAAGAAGTTCTAGAAGGAGGAGAAAGATGTTGTCAACTGAGGTTTTGAATAATGTCTTGTTTGACATTTTCAACTCAAAGTGGGCTGGACTGCGGAACAACACATGATACATGTTATTGGGTCGCAAGATGTACCACGTGTATGCGTGTGTAATAGAAGCCTGGGGAAGAGGGGACAGGGAAGCCAAGGCCAAGGGACCTGTCCTACTGTTGCCTGCACTCATCTGCTCCCAGGGTTATGTGGGTGAGGCTGGAGAAAGGGTAGAGAAAGAAACTTGAGCCTGATGCTGGGTAATGTGACCACACCTAAAGTCACACCCCAGGTACCTCATGTTACCTATGGAGACACCGAGTCCCTGGAAAGTGAAAGCTTAGGCCAAGGTTCTTCCTGAGTAGATGGAAGAACCACAACTGAGACTAGCCTTTCTTGTTCTGATGCTGTCGGGGACTTGCCTGCTTTCCTGTTTGTCTCTTCCTCTCCCCTGGCTCTTAATATTGCACCGAGGTGTCCCTTTAAATAACTGAGAGGTAAAAATGTGTCATACTGTTCAAGCCATTTTTAAGGTATAGGTTTCAGTTCTTCCCATGATTCCCTTCTTCAGACATTAAGTACAGGAATGGCACCAGGACCTGGGATAAAGTGACTGGGTATCAGGCATTGCCATGGTGCAAGGTGTGCACCACAGACAGTTGTGTCTCTGAATCAGGTTCTCCAGAGAAGCAGGACCAATAGATGTGTGTGTGTGTGTGTGTGTGTGTGTGTGTGTGTGTTTGTGTGTTTACACAAATGCTTGTTAAAAGCAATGAGTTTCCATGGTCATGGAGGCTGACCCCAGTGTGTTCTGAGCCTGAAGGCCTCAGAAGGAGGAGAGCAGTGGTGTGAGTCCAGTCCACATTCCGGGAAGCTGGAGACCCAGGAAGAAGGACTGTTTCAGCCAGGCAGGAGGCCTGTTCTCCTTGGGCACCATCAGCCTTTTTGTTCTAGTGAGGCCTTCAGCTGACTGGGTGAGGCCCAGCCACATGGGAGAAGGGTTTCTCACTCTACTCAGATAAATTTTTATTTCATCCCAAAATACCTTCACTGAAGCACCCAAAGATCTGGGCACCCCACAGCCCTGTCAGTTGGCACATAAAATTAACCATCACCATCCCCAAACTATTCCTGGTTTGCAACAAGATACATATGGAGCTTGATAGTAGGCATTTAGAAACTTCTAGAGCAACTGGATTTTTTGGTATTATCAAGGATGTGATCAGTAGTTGTTCCTGATGGACAACCATATGCCAGTTTGTTGAGTTCAAGAGGTGATTTCTACGTGGGACAAGCTCTATACTAACCATGTGCGTTAAGGCCAATCTTTGCCCAGGATAGATTGGGAGAGGAAATGGATTTTACACCACTAATCTGAAAAACGTTGATGTGGACACAGTCCTGCCCATTGTGATGAGTTTTCAAATGTGGCTCACACAGAAACCATAGGAAGGTGCCTAGGAGTGACCCAAGCCCACTGACCTGACAGAGAAGTGGAGACCACATCTCGGTGGACCCACCTTTCACTGTCTTAACTCTCCCTGTTCCCACACCCCAAGAGCCAGGAGGTGCCACAAGTAAAGGACTCAGAAGCTAGAAGTGAGTGACCCAGGAGTAAAAGCAAGAGTCTGAATAAATAAAGCTAGAACGAGCTAGGAATGTGACAGGCAGCAGGGTCCACTCATGATGTTGGGATGCCACAGCTGCATTAGACAGGCAGGTCCACCTGGACCAGGAGGCCACAGAAAGTTAGAGCTGAGAGGGGCCCCTGGTCTACCTCCGCTTCCCTCAGAAGGAGACATGGGCTGAGCAAGGGGCAGGAGCCAGGGCAGGATGATCTATCCTGCAGGGAAGCAAAGGAAACAAGCTAGAATTGTGATTGTGCTGTTCCCGGGCACTGCCTCCATGGTGGTTCCTGGGCACAGAGTAAGGGCTGCCTGTGGCAACACTGGTCCCTCGAGTTGAGTCCTGTGAGTTATTACTTGGGGTGTCCTCAGGGCTGGCAAAGCATGGAGTTCTAAAAGTGGAAAACACCCGCCAGTCTTTGGGCACTGAGTCTGGCTAAAGCCATTTGGGGTCTAACGAGGGATAGGAAGGAAGTGGACCCAGGAGGTTAAAATCAATTCCCAGGAGCACATAGTCAAAGAATCGCCATTTATGTAGACGTGTAAAATGTGGTCCTTGTGGGAGGGGCCCTTTCAACCTTAAGTTACAACCTCAACTCATCTTACCCATATCTTCCATGCCCCCCACCCTCATTGGGAGGAGCTTGGAGGTGCTCATTCATCGAAGGAGTCCTTTTTGACAGGCTTCTTGTGTTTTGGCCTCTCTTTTTAAGCCTCCTATAACTCTGGTGAGACTCGTGTTTATGTTCTGATATCACAAAAGGGAAAACTGCAGCTCAGAGCATTGAGGTTGTCCTTTCAAAGAACAAGCCATCTAGATTACCTTTGTTGGCAATTTTCTAGGGTCTCCAAGACACTGAGTTTGCAGAACATCCTGGGTTTCTGACTCAATGCCCATGCGAAGGAAGCTCCTCTCAGGCCCCAGAGCCTCTGTGCCTTTAATTAAGCACAATAATGCAGAAGAGTGACCTATTGCAAAGTGATAGAGAGCTTGCTTCCCATGTCGCTGCAGCATGATCAGCACACAGTTTAAAGTTTTAGAGTCTCAGTTTCCTCGTCTGTAATGGGGACTACTTCTACCTGTGTTGTGACAATTTCTGACTACATGAATGCCCCCTGCAGATCTTAGCAGGCACTACACAGAGCCTCACTGTCTGCCTTCCCGTGGAAAAAGATGCTCTTCTTTCCCCACCCTACCTGATAGGTCCATGTGAGTTGGGAAAATAAAACTGCTATTAGCAGCCTATTCTTTATCATTCTCTTGATGGAACTAATTTGGCTTTAACCCAACAGGGAGACAGGTTTCAAAAGCTTGGGTAGGAGCTTGTAATCGGCCAGCTCTCTAACAATGCAGCCTAATCAACCTGTGATTTCACAGCCCCCATGGATTCTTCCCCCACCTTTGATTTGTGGTTCCAGGCAGTGGAATTCAGTGAGTCATATTCATTCCATTGACAGGAGAGAATCAGGAGCTTAGGTGTTTAACCCTGAGGTGATTAGGAGGGGGGAGGAAAGGAGCCCTATTTGTTAAGGCCCAAAGAAACATCAAACAGTCCTGGGCAGAGGCAGGCACAGCACAGGCTGTGCAGGTGAGACGTGCGGGGTGTCATTCATCACAGTCTTTGATCTTCAAGTTTTGTGAGTCAAAGAGACTCTCTGGGACAGTTTGGAAGCTCAGTGGGTTCTGGACAGGAAAAGGAAAAATCACAAAGTATGGAAAATGAAGAGTGCTTTTTAGCTGGCAAGTGAACGAGGGTCATTTTGTAGAGATGTGACTTTTTTGCTGGGCAGCCTCCGAATCAGCCACCAGCGTGGCTGGATACTGGGATTGCTTAAGAATGGGAATACAAAGAAGTGACGGCCTTGGGTATGTCTTCAGACATTGTGACTCCTCAACAGCATGCTTTAAGCATCTAGTATATACCAGGTGATATGCTAAGTAGCTTGGGGAAATGGTGGTTTATATTGTTCAAATTTAAAAAAATCTTTGACTATCTGAATGGTCTTTGACAAAAATTCACTTAAATGGTTAGTGCATGGGCTCAGGCATAAGAGAGACCTGGGTTTGAGTTTTGAAACCACCCTCTGATTGTGAGACTCTGAGGGACCTACTTATCTGTGTGTCCTAGGTTTCTGTTGGAGGGTTGGATGACTGTCACATGCAGTGTTGCTGTGCTGGTGGTAATTTTTTTTTTCTGAGAAAACTGGGAGATCAGTCATGTTCCTACTTTCTTCTTCTTTGTTGCTCTTAATTATTTTGCTCTTGGCATTGATACATGCATCTTCCCTTCCAGCATGACAGATACATGTTTTCATAATGCTATGTACAAATTGCTTACGCTGTGTACAAATTGCTGCTGGAATATGCTGAAGGACATTTTGCCTACATTGAAGGAATGTTTTTCCTGAGAGGTGATGTTTTAAAAACCAGGTTTTGAAGGGTGAATAGGAGTTCACATAAGAATAGCTCAATACACTTAGTCCTATTATTATTTTCTTTTTCTTCCTTCTTTTACTCTTTTGCTCTTTTCCACTTCCTCATACTATTCCCTTCCAGTCTCTTCCTTCCCTCTCTCCATATTCACCATGTTTTGGTGTTAAGATTGTCTACCTGGAAACATGTACATAGAGGAGGTCCTAATGATTGCATTATGATTGTGATCTTTAAACAGCATGTTAAGTTTTTATTACCATAATAAGTCATTCTGCTTTCAACTCTGTTCTTACTTTACTCTGGATGTATTTATACATAATTTTTGTTGCATTTGCTTTTCCCAAAACTGAGAAATTATATCCCATCTATGCACAATATATTAAAGTGCATAAATGTATTCTACTATCATGTATAACTAATTAAAACAAATTTTAAAAATTTTAAAAAACTAAGGAGTCTGAATAAAGCATGGACTTAGTTAATAGTAATGTATCAATATTGCTTCATTGGCTGAAATGCAGTGCTGTAAGATATGTAAGATTATATATGGCTATATATTAGATAACAATAATGCATGTAATGTATAATATAACAGTAGGATCCAGGCATAGAATATATAAGAACTCTATCTTCTTCACAGTGTTTTGTAAATCTAACACTATTAAAAACTTAAAAGTTTATTTTAAATTTTCCTTTATCTTAATAAATATCTCCAAAAATTAAAAAAAGAAATGCAGTGGGGAAGGAGCCTATCTAGATAGCAGTGGGTGTCAGGGGAGGTGCGGTTACTTCTGATTCAAACTTTCCCTGGTGTCTCTGCAGATGGGAAGCCCGTGTCCCTGTCACCGCTGGAGTCCCAGGCTCACAGTCCCCGCTATGCAGCCTCCAGCCAGCGTGAGCGCGAGAGCCTGGAGGTGCGCATGCGCGAGGTCGAGGCCGAGAACCGCGCGCTGCGCAGACAGCTCAGCCTGGCCCAGGGCCGCGGCCCCGCGCACCATCGAGGCAACCACTCCAGGACCTACTCCATGGAGGAGGGCACCGGGGACAGCGAGAACCTGCGGGCTGGCATCGTGGCAGGCAACAGCTCCGAGTGTGGGCAGCAGCCGGTGGTGGAGAAGTGTGAGGTAAAGAGCACCTAGGGCCCGGGAAGGGGGTGGCACACACAGCCCCGGGTGCCCCATTTCTTATAGATGCCAGCTGGAAGCACATCCAGGTCCTGGAAGGAGTTGGCATTCTTGGCTCAGAATGTGCGAAGTGACTTGAACCCTGGCTTGGGTGATAGGTCTGGCAAGTCATTGAAGCTCACTGAGACTCAGTTTCCTGCTGGGAAAATGGGAATACAAAGACCTAGTCTACAGAGATTTAAGGGGAGCTATCTGATGGGAGCTGCCACCTGGTTCCTTTGCACATGCTCAGGAATTCTGTACCTAGTTATCATCTTGGGGGTTCTCTGTCACTTAGACTATAGTGTGAATGGTGGAGTTTGGAGCCTATTAGTTCTCTTAGCCTCCTTCTCCATTGAGGGCATGAGGCCTCTGCTGTTCAGAATCAGACTTGTTGCTCAGCTACTGCGGTCATTTGAGATTTTCTAGTTTCATATCTTTTCCTCTCTTTTAGAGTACACCTTCTTTCCTAATAACACATTGGAAACTTGGAAGACTTTCCCATAAGTGCAGACTGCCCCTGCTACCCTAGAACTCCTGCATCTGTGCTGATTTCTACAATGAAGATACTCGCGCGCGCACACACACACACACACACACACACACACACACACACACACACACACACAGTCATTCACACACTTCCTACTGCTTCTTGCCTGTCAATCTCAAGGCCTTTTGAGACACAGACAAGATGGACGAGAGTGAGTTCAGAGCAAAGCTTTGATGGTTTTTGCTATGAGCCCTTGAGCAAGTTACCCAACCTCTCTGAACCTGAGACATGTTGTCAGTACTCTTCAGAGAAAAATCTTGCTTCATGGCATCTGTGTGAGAATAAAATGGAATAGCCATTTAAAAGCCACGAACACTGCCTGCTAAGTAGTACATTTTCAAATGTGCGTAATTTGTGGGAGTTTCAGTTAAATGCAGATATCACCTGCTGTTACTTTATTCTGTTTTCTAGACTCAAGAATGTTAGACTCTGACCTCCCTGAAGAGGTAGCACATTGTGAGCCACAGCCTCTGACCATCAGAACGGGTCATTAGCATTAGCCGTGGTCCTGTTCAGTATGTTGTAGGGAATGCAAGTTTTTTTCAATGATGAAGAATGAGTTTTAAGGAAATTCAGCCGTGAGGGAAGAAGCTCTCGACTGAAGCAGACCACGAGGGTCTCTGAGGATAGTTGCAGCCTGGTTTAACTGTGGATTGGCAGAGAGGTGGAGAAAGGCGGTAGAAGATGTGTGAGCAGGACTGTCACGGAGTAGGAAAGATGAGGAATTCAGGACCTGGCGCTGCTCACACAGCCAAGCCCAGAGACCTGAGAGAGGATCCGTCAACATTCAGTCCTCCATTCAGCACCTCTAGGGCACCCGCTTGGGGATCTCACACCGTCTCTTGTGCTGCGAATAGCAGTGAATAAAGAAGATGAAACTCCCTTTCTTCTGCTTCTTATATTCTGCACTGGGAGGCAGCAGGAAGTGGCAGGAAGCAGTTGATAAACAAATAAAGAAGTATCAATCTCATCAAGTGATGCATGTGGCACTTTTTTCAGCCCCAACCACCCTGCAGGCCCACTCCTTCCATCCTGGAAAAGCATTGCTAGTCTCTTCTGTAGCTTAATGTCTACATTTTACACCTCTGCAAATGGGGGACAGAACAATGGTAACACATCCCCTTGACCTAGGGGGCTCTTAACTTTGGCAGGACCCTAACTTCTTTGGGAACCTCTAACCTTGGAAGGGTGAAGACTCAAGTGATTTTTCGCAGGTTCTCTGCTATCAGTCACAGCCATGGTGTTAGTTTTGAGTGGATGAGTTTAGATGGAAACCTGCTGACAAGGTTGATTTGGCCTAGAATGTGAACCGTTTACGTTATTATGATTCAGTCCTGCCAGAGAACTAAGAATCAAGGAGATAAGAAAATAGAAAAGGAAAAGTCTGGGGCATGGGAGGGGAAACAGTGTAACAGAAGGCCACATGAGTGTAGCTTGCTGGGAGCATTCTCTTCCTGCTGTGTCTGCCTAGCCAGGGTGTCCCTCCCCAGCTCAGCTTTGTGAGAACTACTCATTCTATTTTGGAAGTGGGTCTCTGTCCTGAATCCCCTGCAAAATAGTGCAGGCAAAACAGTACTGGCTTTGAAGGTAGGGTCATGAGTCTAAATCCTGGTCTCCTTCCTTGCTAACTAGCTTTATTGCTTTGAGCATGGAATATCTCTTTCCTGCATCTCATTTTCCTCATTTGCAAATTGTGGATTTATATCAAGTTCCTGCCTCACCTTATTTTAGTGGTGACTATGGATATTAGGATTGGAGAGGGACTTTAAGATAGCTAGTTGTGTTAGCAATACATTTCCCTGCAAATAACCAAAAAATTCCATCTAATAACGGCTTAAGTAAGATTTGTGTCTTATTTCTCTTTGTGGTTAAGATGACTGGAGGAGAGTGATGTGGGGATGTAAATATCCATATTCTGAATTATTTGATATTTTACCCCGTGTTGCTGACTGGGCATTGCCATGGTTTATCTCATGGTGAGTAATGAGTATCAGAGCTTCAGTATAGTGTCCATATTCCAGAGGGGAGGAGAGAGGTGTTAAGGTGGGACTTGTGCCTCCTTTAAGAATATATATAATATACCCTACCGATTTCACACCTGTGTTCCTTTCAGACCCTGTGAGCAAGGCAGAAGGCTGCCCTTAACTGCCACCTTGATACAAGGCTGGAAAAGAGATTTTATTTGGGAAAGCCATACTTTTCACTACCATTTGAGAGTTCTACAACTATGGTCACAAGGAACATTCTCGGTCACTCATGTGGGTGACTCCCAAACTGGGTGTGCATTAAAATTGCTACGGATCAGATTGCTGGGGCTCAGTGCATACCTACAGATTGACAAGCTGTGGGAGTAGGGCCCAGCAAAATTAGTATTAAAAAAAAAAAGTCTAACCAGGTGATTCTGAGATAGTGAAAAATATTTGGAACCCACTGCTTCGAGGAACAAGAAAAATGAAAAATGTAGTTCTCTATTTCTGTGCTCTTTGAAGATAGAGTAGCAATGTAGGAATTTAGACTTTGAAATTCTTAGCTCTTACCTTCACTTATTTTTTGAACTTTTGATTTGCACCTGAGGGTTAGCTTGTATTTGCTCATTTTTCTTTTCTTTCTCGGTATTTCTTGATCAAGTTTCTGCTTATACCCTAAAACCATCCTTCTCTGGTAGAATTCTTGAATATGGAGCCTGGTCCTATTCAGAGCTTCAGTGCATGTGTTTGAAAACTCTGTAGAGGCAAAGCAGTTTTCAGCCATGTGCATTTACACAAAGGCACTGGCTTCATACCCATTACCAGTACACCCCTGTCCCTGTCACTCGACGGAACATTTTCGTGAAAAAGCCAAAGAGGCAAACGAGAAATGTCAGTCATTATGCTCGAAGCAGAAGCTTCTCTTCCTCCTGGCACTTTCTCACTATGAGTGTTGCTGCTGTTCTTGACGTCTCATCAGAGTGCAGGGCCATGAGCCGAGGACGTCACAGTCATCTGTGACTGAGCTGAAACTTCTCCTGGCTCTGACAAGTATTTCTGAAAACTCTACTGTAATGACATCCAAGCTGTCAGCTGAGATGTCTGGTGATGGAAACCATGGGCCTCGCCAGACCCTGTGCCCTCTCGTCATTTCCTAATTATGTGGCCTTCAAACTCTGCCCATTTTATTCTTGCATATTCCGTTGCCCACCAGTGCTGCTGTGGGGAAGGCCTGGTGTCTCTCTGCCTGGGAGCCTGGAGCAGAATGCTGCCCTCTTGACCTTCACTCCAGCCTATGTGCATTTCCATGTGTGTATTTTTTTTTTTTTTTGTCTTTATGGTCTGTTCTACTCTGAGAGTTGACAGTGGTACAACAGAAAAAGTCACTGTGACTGGAGTCAAAATTCCCAAACAGGAGACTTGTCGATTTCACTCACTTGTCATGTGACCTTTGGCAATCCACTTACCCCCTCGGGGTCTGCAGCATTATCAAGTGAGAATAATAGCATTTTCTTCCCAGTGCAATTATTAGGATGAAATGAGGGAGTTGGTGGGAACCTAACTCTGAGGGACATCTGCACCCGTTATGGACATTATTTTTCCCTTATGCCGTGCAACAAGTCACCTAACACTTAATGGCATAAAAGGGCACCACTCCTTGTATTTGCTCTCAGGGTTTCTGTGGGTCAGGGATTTGAGGAGAGCCTGGCTGAGTGGCTCTGGTTTGGTTTTCCTTGTATTATTGGTATTATTCTATGGCTAGAAACTAGAACCAGGCAGGGCTGGAGCAGTGGACACTGGCCCAGAGTTTCGTGGATTTGGGGCCTCTTCATGTGGTGTTTCTGCCCAGGCCACTTTGGGCTTCCTCACAATATGGCGGCTGTAGGCAGTAAGTACTTAACTGACACTCGAAGGTTTTACGTACAAGTGTCCTAGTGAGCAAAACACATCGTGTATCTTTTTCCAATGGCTCTTTCTGTTCGTTGAAATGATCACAGAAGCCCACTTGCTTTGAATGGTGAGTAGAACTCAACCCATCTCCCAGTGGGAGGAAGGTCGAAGAATTTATGAATAACTCTTTGAAACTGGGTAGAGTTTTTATGGACACTCTGTGTACTCACAGTGGTGTCAGGCATCCTCCTGAGGAGTTATCTGTCCTCCCCTCTGCCTGTTGTACTGAGCTTCATTCCTCCATCATAATATGATAGTAATGAAAGCTGACCTTGACCTCTCCCTTGAAGTGGACAAGACATCATGCTGAAAACATATACAAAATATCTCCTTTATCCCACACAACATACTTTCTTCATCTGTAGATCAGTTAACTACTGTAAGTAAAGATTACACCATTAGTCCAAGATCCCAGGAGAGGAGAAGCTTGGATTTGAACCTCTCTAAGTGCCGGGCCCTGGAATGAGGGGATGCAATGGCTGGAAGATGGT